CCCAGGGCACAGAATCCCAGGATGGTTGAGGTTGGAAGGGACCTCTAGAGATCATCTAGCCCAACCTTCCTGCTCGAGCAGGGACACCCAGAGCACGGGACACAAGGTGGCAAAACATACAGGGCAGCCAGGGTGAGGTTAGAGGTCCAAGCAGGTGCGTTGGGCACATTTATTGGGCAGAGCATTAAACCCCCAAAAGGAAAACCCCACCAAAAAGCCGTGTGGGACCCCCAAACCCAGGCCAGCAGAGCTCCTGATCCCTTCCCTAGCTCCCCGGGGCTGCACTTTGTCCCAACCAGCAGCAAGGAGAGGACGGTCAGGGATTCCAATGCGGACGGGCTGTCGCGGCCGGCGCCGTGGCTGGGAACGCGCCGGTGGCCCTGTCCAGGGGCGGCCGACGGCAGCGCTAGAGACTCAACAGCTCGGGGCTGGAGATAACGTGATTTAATTAACAAGCAGGAAAAAAAGATAGCACGAGACACAGGGGGGTGCAAGAAGTTCTTAGCAGGTTCTCCTGCAGCTCAGCTGGTCGAGAGGGCAGTGAGGAAGAGGAGGAGGGAGGCAGGGACTTCCCCAAGACCTGGTCCCGTCCCACCTCTGCCGAAGTGAGGTGGGAATTAAACAGGAGCCGATAGGAAGGGCCAGAAACCATCCCTGTTCCTCCTCCCTTTGAGCTGTCCTAACCCCGGAGCAGCATTGCAGCCCATGCAGCCCCCCGAGGATGACTGGGGAAGGCCAGCGGAGGAAGGCCAGGCTCAAGGCAGCTGGTGGCTCCGAGCTGCAGGATGAGATGGGTTTGACGGGGCCTTCAGCGGGGAGCCCACCCAGCCGAAGGTGGGAAGCAGGAGAACCAGCACACGGACTATGGAGCCCGTTTGGGAAGAGGCGCCCAAGGCAATGACGTGGTGGGGACACTCGGCCTCCAACAGGCAACGTGAGCGCTGTTAAGGCCAGAAGGAGGCCGGGCAGGAGGCCGATCAGCCCCACGGGACCCCCAAGAGCTTCCAGCAGAAGGGAGCGATGCAAAGACGGGGTTCAACGCGGACCTAGGAGCGGCAGCAGCGTCCTGAGGCAGCGGAGGATGCGCTTGAGCGGGACGGCCAACCTTTATTTTGCTGGGCCTTGATCGAAAAAGCAGCAAGATTACAATAAAAATACAACAAAAAGCCACCGCCAAACACTGGGGAAGTCCAACATTAGGGACAAGTGGGAACACTGCGACTGGGCAGGGCTGCGAGCGCCCCAGGATGGACGGGAATTCACCGTGAATTCAACGCTATGGTTTATTAGAACACAAATATAAAAGTCACTAAAAAGCCAGCATCTAATGCTTGCCTTAAAGGATGCGAGGGGAAGCGTTAGGAAAAGCTAATGGAGAAAAAAAAAAGGCACTTAAAAACGAGTTTTGAAGGAAAAGGGTTTGCACAAACCTGACGCCAGGCTGGTGGAGATGCCTGGAGTTCAACCTGTGTTCTCCTGAGCTAATGAGAGCAAGAACAGAGAGCAGGAGATGCCCCTTCCTCTCCTGCACGTGTAGGGATGAAGAGGGATGGAGATTCCCTCCCTGCTTTTCTGATGCTGTATTTCCTGGGATGAGCACTCCGTTAATATCCGGAAGATCAGAAAACCCCACAAAAACGGAGTGAAACCACATGCAACAAGGCACTCCCCAAAGGAACAAGATGCTCCCTGGAGAAAATCCAAGGCATGAAGCATGGAAAGGAGGGAATCCAGAAGCTTGCGGAAACACCTTGAAGACCACAGAGGACAAGCACCTGGTGTGGTGGCTCATACCCAAGCACGGGGTGCCACTCAGCGCAGGTTAAAGGCTGCTTTAAAGGGCTGAGTTTCCCTCTTAGCTCTTTCCGAGTGCAACGTGGGCAGAAAGGGTTAAAAAAGACAAGCAAAACCTCCCCGCCGGCCCTCACCACCCACAGCAAACTACACAGTAGTCCGTTAAGTGGCATCTTTTAACGAGTCTTCCAAGCAAACCTTTCAATATGAAAAGGGGAGGAGCAGAGAGGGCAAAGAGGCCAGGCGGCCCGGCCGCTCCGGAGGCTCCGAGAGGACGGGAGGCTCGCCCGAAACGCATGCAAGGCCGCCCCGAGCAGCAGGAGTCCTCGTTTAGGCTGAGCTCAGCTGGATGTTAAAGGGGTTCGAACGGCATCCGAAGCAAAAGGACAGAGTGGCTGTTGCTCCGCACGGAACCTCCTCTCGGTTAGACACAACCTATGGAATAACAAGTTGGATGCTCCGTGAGCTCAGGCATTCCCTAAGCTTCCCTCCCTCCCTCCCAATGAAGTTGCAAGCAGGTGCTGACGGCAGTTTAATGGTTGGATGGCATGGATTTGTCCCGGACAGCAGCTGTCATTAACGGCGCCCTTTAGATATCCATAAATAAAACGCAGATTTCCAACAACCGAAAATAAAATTTTCTAGAAAGGCATCAATGTATTTGCTGAATAAGGCGTTGAGCAGGTTCCTCCATCTTCCTAGCAAGACCATCCTCGGTATCCATAAATAGGGGACGGGGGCAGGCAGGGCTCTTGGCCGTAGTGCTTCTCGGGCAGACGTGGGAGCCGTTCTCATTTTAGCCGCTCCACAAGTCCCTGTGTGAGTCCAAGGTGCAAGAGCTGCGATCTGGAGAGAGTTGCTAGATGCGGGAAATACTCCAGGAGCTTCTCCCAGGACAGTTCCAGCAGGCTGGGCACCACCAGCCACATTTTGAACAGGGAGCCAGTCCGTTTGTTTTCGTGGATGTTGACCACCCCTCCGTGGACGTACATACAGCCGGCCTGGGTGGGAAAAGGGGAAGAGCATCAGTGCCAGGGAAACCTCCCATGGAGGCAACCAGGCTTTGTCCCATGAGCTCCAGCCCAAGGAATGCTTTAGGAGCAGGGCAAAGTGTTAATTGATTATTCTAGACCCGCACTGGGGTTTTAAGCTAAAAGTAATATATATTTCTAAATTAAAAACATGCCTCCTCCTTGGGGAAGGCGCGTATCAGGCTCGTGGTTTCCTGGGAAGAGCTGCATTCCTAGGAAATTGCCTCCCAGCGAGATATGCCAGCGGTAGCACTGTCCTGTCGCGCTGCTAAAGGAGGCTGAAGTCACAGCACACACTCTTCCTCCTGAATTTCCAGTGACTGCAAAAAGCAGCAGCAATAGCAGGATGCTATTGATGGAGAAAATAGTGTTTTCTGTTTTCTCCTGTTCTCTCCTTTTCCAAGGAGAAAATACTGCTTCCTTTGCTAATGTTTTCCACCCTGGCTGTTCTCTGGGGAGTCAAACCCACAACAAGAAGTTACTCGGGATCACTTTTGCATGCTTCTTTCTTTTGCAAACAGCTATCGCTGCTCGCACACGGAATTGCTTGTTGAATTTAATGCATCTAAGGGCAGCATCGGGGCTCTTGGTGCGTGGGACGTGGTGCACATGCTGCAGCTCCGCAGTGCAGCAGGGGTGAAGGCCAGAGCAGCAGCCTCAGAGCAGCCCTCAGCCTCCCCCGAGCAGCTGCACCCAGCTGAGTCGAGCTCAGCTCCTTGGTAACATCAGTTCAGCTCTGTTCGCAGCCCACGCAAACGCTGGAGCGCCAAGAGGATGTTTGGTGTGATGGGTTGAACTTGAGCTAGGTAGGAAGGAGAGCAAGGTGCTTACCGGGGTGACAGCAGCGCAGTGGAAATACACGGGCTCGGGCATGGCAGCCGGGAGCTTCACCCACTGGAACGTCTGCAGATTGAGCTTCCAAACATCCCCCAGGATCACTTCTCCGTTATAGCCCCCGCACACGAACACATCTGTAGGGAAGAGGAAAGTCAGCACTCTTAGCGGTCCAGTAAAATGAACCAGTAAAATTCCTGAATTCCGTTCAGGAATTATGGAATGTGCTCGACTCAAGTCAGAGAATGCCTTTTCTAGGATGGTTCCAGGGTCAACGCCCACTCAATGCACCTCTCTACCTCCCAAATCAACGTCAAAGAGGTTGTCCTCCTGCCCATGCCCACCCATCGTGGCCTGCCCAGCATCACTAGGGCAGTTTCGGCAGCCCAGAGCTTCAAGAAGCAGTTAAGGTTCTTGCTTTAAGAAGATGCATTAAGCCCTACATAACCTGGGATCAGAAATATCTGGCTTTGAGTAGATTCTCCTATTTTCAGGCCCAAGGGTCTCAGATCCAAACTTATCTGAGGAAAGATCAAAACTGTGGCCAATCAAACATGGATTTTATGGGCACAGTCCACTCTAATCTGCACTTTCAACATAGCCAGGCAAGCAATGTGTAGGAAGAGCATTTGGAGGCTCAAAGAGAATAAAAGACTCTACTAAGCTCCAGGCAGCTCCTAACACACACAAAAAGCCAGTCCTCGGATCGTAGATCTCAGATTTACTCCATGATGAACCGGACAACCTATTCAGGAAAGCCCTAAATGACCCTGTCCCTAAAGAATTCAGTTTCCAGGACTTGGCCCCATCTTGCTTTTCACAGCAGAGGTAAAACTGGCCAATTAGTCCCAAAGCTGCAGCAGGAGCCCCGTTCATACCTGCTCATTAGCTTGCAACCAGCTGCAATTATCAAGTTGCAAAGCATCACAGACACTCCTGGCTAAAATGGACAACAATTTACATTAAAGCATTTTTTGCAGCTGGATGTTGCACAAAACAGCACACAATTTCTGAAAGCAACAGTACTGGGCATTGCAGAAGTATATTTGGCTACAGCAGCAAGAGGACACATCCCTTACACAAACAGCTGGGCAGTTTAAGCACAGTTAATGAGCAAGAAACTCTTTCCAGAAGGATTTAGATACTGTGTGGCCTGCAGTCAAGTCAACACGGTGGAGACTAACATCTCCCAGGCCAGAAAAGCGGGGCTGTCACTGCTAGCTGTGTAATGAGATGTACCAAATTTCAAGAAGTTTAGCTTACCATTTTTTATCTGAACGCAGCTATGGCATCTTCTGGCTGCTGGGAAGCCTGAGGAGAGAGAATAAGAAGTAGAGTGTATAGGGAAGTGGGGATTATAGCTCAACATTTAACCATGGAGAGGAGTCACCTCCTTTGTTTATTAGGGGTCACATCTCTAATTTAGCAACTGGCTGTTTCAAAAGGTTTAGCTCTTATTTGCTTTGTAGGGAAGGAAGAGATGTGCCAGAACTGCAATCCTCCCAGGCTCCAGCTCCCACCTCCAGCCTGGCAGGAAAGCTGCAGCCGTGAGCTTAATGGTTTCAGGGAGACTCATACAGCAAAGGCTGCAAAAAAAACAGGTCCTGAAGCCAGGGTAGACCACGCTCTGTACAACAGGGCTACCAAAAAGGCTTCAGGCATCTCAGCCACTCGATGGCTTACGGGAGATGACGCACGAAATTCCAGGCTCACCGATTTTCTCGTGTGGCTTCGTGGCAATTTCTTCCCAGGTGTTGGTTTCCAGGTTGTACGCGTGGATCTGAGGGAACAATGAGGAGCTATGAGTCCTCCTGACTCACCCAGCACCGTGATCACGCAGCTACGGAGGTGACAAGACTAGACACTGACCAAGGGAACCACTATAAATAACACCTCTTTTTACTGACTGTCAAAGAAAAAACATAGCTAATCGCAGTCAGTGACTAAGCAGGTATGAAAACACTCAGAACACAGTAGTTACTAGAGCTTTCATCTCCAAATCTGTTACTTGAGCCCCACAGCTGAGGAAAAAGAATACTGCTTAGAAAAAAACCCAAACAATAAAATAAAATAAAATAAAATAAAATAAAATAAAATAAAATAAAATAAAATAAAATAAAATAAAATAAAATAAAATAAAATAAAATAAAATAAAAATAAAACTCTGTACCCTCCACTTCTCTGCATTTAGATATTCCTTCCTCATACTGTGATATATGACAAATACATCCTACATATTTTCTAATAGGGATCTGTGATAGCAGGTCTGCAGAAACGAAGCTCTTTTGGAGATCAGTGTGGTAGCCTTGAACGACAAATTTGCAATAACATCATTTTTTACAGAAACACGGAATGTTCTGCTCCTAGTTATCTTATTTCTTACCAAGTTCCCCTGACAGATGAAGAGTCTGTGCTGGGCAAGCTTTGCAGTCAAAACTCCCCTTTCCATCAGGTACCCAACAGTTCCAAACGCCTTACCTTATCTAGTGAATAAGCTGTCCAAGAAGTTCCACCTCCCAAGATATAAATGCGCTGACCATCATGTGCGATTTCATGCCTGTACCTGAAAACAGACATGCAATAGCACAAGGAAATAGTGCAAACGAGCAACAGCAAAAGCCTTCTCTGGAAGCACTATCAAATCTGAGTGTTTTAAGCCAACACCTCAAGCTTGGCTATGTTATATCAGTCCCTAAAGTTAGGACTTTTCAAAAGAAATAAATTCCACCATAAATTCCCCGTGGAAGCACAAGGCGTTATTTGTCCCCAGACGAAATCAACAGGGGACTGTCTGACCTCCCAACCCTCTCTCCTCCACATGGGAACCTCCTCCCCTCCCGGCACTCACCAGCCAGCCCAGGTCTCCATCTGTTCCAGCATCACACAGCACAGCTCAGTGTCCTGCCCTGCGTCTTCAAGCCCCATCCCTACATCCCTCTAAACGCCAGACTGATGGTTTTGCAAAATTCCAAGGCAAAGATACTACTCTAAGAGTATCTTTAAGCCTATTGTGCTACCTGAGCTTCTCACTCCAGGCTGATATTCACTAAAATAAATGCTTTTTCAGGCCATCCAATCACTGTTTTTAATTATGGCACATCTCAGGCTTGGCTAACTAGACCTTTTTGTCCTGCTTGTGAGCAGCTCCTCACCTCTCCTCCGGCATGTCACAGGACATGTTGTTTGGTTTCAGTTGGAACCACTCCCGAGTGTTAAGGTCTAGTTTATGCAGGTCAGTACTGTAGATGTAGCCTGTGGTTCCTCCAAACACGTACAGCGAGCCGTTGATGATGGCCATAGCCTGGAAGGAGGGAAGGATGACAGTAAGAAAGGGCATCAGCGGATTTCTACCCTACCAACGTAAGACCCTCCATGCAAAGCTCTACCCAGAGCTTGCAAGTTGTGTGTTCAGAAGGAACACGAAGGCTGAGCACAGAAGACACGCAAAAGAGCCCAGCGGGGATTTGCAGGAATGGAAAATAGCTCCGTGGTCACAACATGAGGACCTAGAAGGAACAGGGAAGGAAAGAGCTCCCAAGAGAAATAATAAGCAGAGGGAAAAAGCACATAGGGATATAATGGAAAGGAACTAACAGGAGAGCAAGAACTCTAATACACAAGAATTCTCTTGCTAACCATCCCTTTAAGCCTCATCAGTGGAAGAGCGTCACAGTAACATTAATATCCCAGAAAAAGCTTCTAAAACCCAGCAGAGAGATTTCTTAGGTTAAGCCTCGGTGCTGCTGCCTCATCCCCAGTGACCAGTGAGCTCTGACCAAGGCTGATCCTGCTCCTCAAGGGTAGGACCTGATGTGCTAAGTTAGGGACCTACAATGTGCCTGCAGATGCACCAGGAGGCTCCTCTGGGCTCTCCATAAACAAAGATTCTCCCTAGAAGTGGAGGGTTCTATAGGGTGCATAGGGAAAAGGGACAGAAAGAAAGTTCAAGGTGTCCTGGAGAACACAAGAGACACAGGACTTCCTGAAAAAGCATAAATCAGTGCTGCATTAGGGGCAATATCCTGAAAAAGGTGCCAAAATCCTTAGCACTGGAGCAGAAAGAAAATAAAAAGCCACAGAGGAGACACGTCCAAGAAGGGTGACAGCTGATCCATGCGGAACCATTGCACTTCAGGCTTGGGAAGAGATGCATCTGTGCAGCAGGGTCTTTGGAGAGCTCAAACGCCAGCAGGGCCAAGCCTGCACGTCCGCTGCGCTGACCTTATAGGGACACTGCTAGGGAGAATCCTCTCAACCAGCTATCAGATGGCCAGCCTGGAATACTGGAGCTGTGAACATGGGGCAGGCAGCTGTCCCCTGAGGGGGCAGCCCAGGGGCTTCTCCTCCCAAGGGCCTGTTTGTCAAAGCCCAGTAAGGGCAGAAGCTGCACAGGGGAAGAGTGCCCTCCCTCCCCACGTGGTTGGCAAGCACAGAGCTGCATGAGAAACCAGGGGGATGTGAACAGTCCCAGAGACACAGCTTAACTGTTTTCACTTAAATGCACGTTTTCTTAGCAAGTTTTGGCTTTCCTTATCCTTATGTGAACACAGAACAACTCAAGTCCCTGTCAGAGAGCAGACCACTCAGGTGCCTTCTGCAGGGCACCAAAAAGCAGCACGTGCCAGGCGCCCGCCTCGTACCTGCCCGTAGATGCGATTGGGCTTCCTGCCCCGGCAGCTGAGCAGAGCCCATCTCTTGTACTTGACGTTGCAGACGTGGACGTCGTTGCCGTTGCTCTCCCCAAAGGGGATCCCCGTGCCCCCAAACACGAGCAGGTTGTTGCCGTGCAGAACAACTAGGAGAGAAAAAGGGAGAGCAGAGATGCTTGTTGCCTTGAGGTGCAGTTAGACAGAGCTACTCTGCTCTGGAAAAGAGTAGGCAGCAGGTGTTCAGTGTTGTTCAGATAAAGACTGTAGGCTTCACACTTTGCATTTACGGCCTTGAAATGCTCTGCAAGTGGCAGAATGCAAGCTCAACACCATGGTAACCAAGGCCTGCTTTTTAAAAACAGCTTGTGAACAAAGAGATCTATTTTTGGATGCTCTGAGATGCCTTAATGAACATACACCTAATATTTGAAAAGGCAGCGTCCTTGCAAAGACCAAGCCAAACACCCCAAAACCGTCACTTGTGCTTGATTTTTTCCTTCCTCTCTGCCTCAAGTGCAAAGGGAAAGAAAAACAAATAAAAACCCAACTCAGAACCCAGGTTTGGTTACAGAATTGGGAGCAGGATGCAGATTTCCCCATTCTCGCCTGGTTTTCCATTCCACCAGGGACAATGATTAAAATAGCCCCAGGGCTTGGTGCCCGGGAATTGAATTTCCATACGTACGTGACATGGACGCCAGTTCCCGGGGCATGTAGCCTTCGGTGCCCATCTGATGCCAAGTGTCCGTCGCGAAGTTGTATCGCCAGAGCTCTCTGAAGAGCGGGTAATCTTCGTTCTCTGGTCCTCCAGACTCGTCATAGTCAGGGTTGTAGCCTCCAAACACGTACAGGTTGGCGTTGTCCGCCACGCAGCGATGGCCGCTTCGGGCCGGAGGGGATCTGTGGCCTAAAGCAGGGAGAGAAGGGAGGTAAAACAGCTTTGGTGGAAGGTGCCACCCGCTGCAGAGCTTCTCCTGCAGCAGTATCGGCAGTCCAGAGGTCACTGCTCTTGGAGGACACGGTCACCTCTCAGACCAGGGAGCACTTCTGCATGTGCCACATCACATCCACACCGGCTCCAGCCCTTCAGACACTGCATTTTGGGCACAATGACCCTTTGGTAAAAACTATTTCCAGGATATTTCTCCAGCTCCCTTTGCAGGTGTAACACACATCAGAATTCACTTAGGAGACAGCACCAAACTGCTCATACTCAAACCTGCCGCGTGGGAACGGAAGAAGAGGAATGATTTGCTCTCCCTCCAACATTTTCTCCCTTCTTTTTCCCCCTCTTTCGCTCTTAGCACCTTGTAACTCAGCTGAGATTTCCCAGGTCGGGGACAGTTATGGGCTGCCTAAATGTTCCACATCCCAGGGCCGAGCAAGTCCAAGTCCACAGGTGACGGCAGAAGGCTGAAGCTGCAGCAGGGAGCACAGCTATGAGCTCACAAGCTGCATTCCCAGAAGGAAGCCCTCTGTCTATCCGACCTTTCCCTAAGAAACGACAGCAATAAAGGCACGTGGGGTGAGGAATTGAAAGAGCACAGAGCTTAACCAAAAAGGGCTGAGAAGGATGCGCACGTGGTGCTCGGGCAGTGCCGTTTGCTTCTGCAGCCCGGGGCTCTTGGGATGCGGGATCGGGTATGTTCTCCGTGCCTGTTTTCCTACAAATCCCAGATCTGCTGCAGCCCTGGAGGATCAGGGCACGGCGCTGGGCGGCCAGCTGAGCTCGCACCCGAAACACCAGGAGCAGCTCAGGAAGGAAGGTAAAGTGGGGAAATGCCTCACGACTGGCACGGCGGCACCTCTGCCTCCTTTTATCCTCTGCAAGAAGCTGGAATCCAGGAAAATCACTTGGACAACAATATTCTTGAAGAGCGGCGGCACTGGGAGCTGGGGATGACAACAGACAAGTGAGCAAGGAGGAAATCCCAGCTGGTTTTAATTCCCTGCACAGCAAGAGAGCAGCAGAGTGCCAGGGATGGATGTTCTCCATCAAGGAGACACAGGACCACGCATCAAAGGAGACGGATGACAGGAATAGCCGGGATCAAGTCCCTCGCAGAGGAACCGGCCACGGGGCGCAGCCAGAGCCTCTCAGACTGGCTAGACCTGACCCCAAGGTCCCTTTGCACAAACAAACCAGTGATCCCCACCACTCGCCTGCTCCCAAAGCTCCTCCACAGCTGTTCAGCACGGAAGTGGATCTGTCGAAGAGCCTAATTAGGATCAGATGAGTTTTCTTCCTAAATCCCAGTGCCACAGTTATCACCAGTGAATCAGATGCGTCGAGTAATAACAAATGAGGCAGCCGGTTGCTTCCCACATGAAAGGCGAAACAAAGGATGAGTTTGGGCTGAATAATGGATTTTAACCCCATACAAGCAGATGTGCTTCAGCATGGACCCTGTGTGCTGCTGCCTGAAGCTCATGGAAGATCAAGCTGCTCTGGAGCAACCACCTCGTGGCTCCCACCTCGTGGTTCCCACCTTGTGGCTAAGCTTGGACAGCTCTGGGTTGCTTCCAGCAATAACTGCACCCCACAGCAATCACCGCTTCCAAAACCAGGAAGCACTACGTAAAGGATAGGGGAATAAAGCTTAGGAATTAATGGAAAAATCCTTAGTGTCTGGCGCATCTACTCCAAGAGCAGTAGTTACTAGCAGCGGAGAGCACCAGCTTCAAAGGTGAAAGGAAAAATGTTTTCCTTTTGATTTTTCATTTGAATTTTTCATTTTTAAACCCTGAAGCCATCAGAGAGGCAGCTTCACTTTTCCTAAATTAACACACTGCCAACAGAGACACTGGTTCAGACTCCTCTTATCACGGGAGGAGAGGAAGGGTGACACTCTTGGAGAGCGGTTCACCTGACCTTGGGTATCAGCAAACAAAGCTGCGCCTGAGAACGTTGTGTCTCTCCATAGTCTATCTTAGGAAGGGCTCCCAGGTCTAGGCTTGGCCAAAGGAAGCCCGTCCAGCTCGTTTCTTCTGCATTTTCCCTGAAGGTTTCCATTGAGAAGACCTGAAAAAACTGAAGTAGGAGCTTAAATCTCTAGTGGGATCCTGGGAGCACTGAAGTGGGATTCGCGGGAAGAGATTTTATTTTTTTAGTTTAGTCACATATTGAATCAAACAGGTATTAAGGAATTAAGAGTGCAAATATTACTTTAACTATAGATCCTATTGCCTTCTAGCTATATACTTGCTGTGAGAATTCTCCAGAGGACGAGGGAAGAATAAGCTTCATAGAAAACAAATTAAACAGTAACACGCATAATTCATATAAAATAAATACTTAAAAAGCAGAAAGGCTGCTTGAGGTTCAACATTAAAAAGAGAAAATATCCAAGAGTAACAAAGCCAAGAACAACAGTAAGACAAGAGCTAAGGTTCAGAAAGGGGTGAGTGAGAGGCAGCGAGAGGGATGCATTAAGCCACCAGATTGATCATTTCAAGATATTTCCAAGAAATACAGAAAAGGCTGCTCACTAACCCCTTCGTCCAACCAGGCCTCTGTTCGGAATTGAGGTGACCTAAATTCACTTCATAAAAAAAGTCTTAAAAAAAAAATGCAACCAAAGAGATTCCTCTAGTTTCTGACTTTCTAAAGAAGAGACTCCTACAAGTTTAATCTATTTAAGAGTTAATTCAAATCAGCTTCTTCAGCAGACAAGTTCCAGGACTGGTACCTCCACAGAGGAGATGCATTTCCATTTAATTATGTTTTATCAGATGATTCACATCTCCTACCGAAATGTTTAATGCAGGTTTCAGATCTGGTTTTGCTCCAGGGTTAGCAGCACGCAATGAGCCTACGAGACAAATGAAAATGTTAGAGGATTGGGGGAGATGGAAACATCCAAGCTTCTGTTAACTAAAAAGCAAGCAAAAAGCAGCAAAATCTGTAACCAAAGGCTGAGTGTGCCTTGGGTTATAGAAGTGTCAATATGAAACAAAGCCCAGCGAGACACTGGCACCATCAAAAGCTGCAAGTCACAGGGCTCTGCTCTAAACTCTTTGATAGCAAACAAGGAAAGGAGAGGCTTGATATGCAAATTCAAGGCAGATCTGTGGCAAAGAGGTCTTAAAAGCTCGTTAGAGCTGTACAAAATTACTTTAAAATGAGAATAAATGGGAGTGGAAAAGCAGGCTGCTTGCCAAGCTCCAGACTTCAGAGCAAAGAGCTGCTACCTTGCAGCTGAAGGGAAGGTGCATTCAGGAGGCCAAACATCACCCTGGAATTTGGAGATTCCTTTTCCTTGGTCCATACGGAGGAAATGGGTCCGTTGACCATATGGGGTCTCCAAAGATGTGCTTCATTTATTTAAAAACATGCGAGAGGCGGTAGCTTTTAGAGAATTAGAGTAATTAAGAGAAAGGAGAGCTAACACAGAATTGATTTGAAGGATTGTGATGGGGCCATAATGAAGGAAACTTCTCTGAAAGTGCTCTAGTAAGTGACTGCTCAGATGGTCCAGACAGCCTCCATTAGAAAGGATTCCTCCTTTAATAGCTCTCCTGCAAAAGACACTAGAACATGAAAATAAAGGAGGAAATGATTTATGGAAAACCTAAAAATAAATAAATATTAAAAATATCTTTAGCATCAGCAGGTTGACGTTAGAGAGCTCTTTCAATGCTATCAACACACCAAGAACTGTATCAACAGCCCCTATCGACTCTGCTGCATTTCTCTGCCACGTTACAGCAGCTCTGTAAAGTCAGACAAGGGGAAAATTAAACGCCGAAGTGCAAAGCGATGCAGGGCCAGCACTGAATCACATGCTGCAAAAATACAAGGCGAGAGGCGCTTCAAACGGAGCGGCACAAAGAGCCGTTCCAAAGAACAAAGGAATTTTCTTTCCATTGATTATCCTGCCTTTAACACTGTGGAAACGCTGGCATCGTTTCCCAGCTAGGTTAAACGAGAAGGGAGTACCTGCTATTTGTGCTGGTAAGAGAGCCTTATTTTAAAGGAAAGGAGGGAAAAAAAAAGGGGATTACTTAGCTGAACTCATTCCCTAAAAAATAAAAGTGGCAGTGTCGCCTACTAAGGTGTTTTGAGAGCCTGTCTGAAATCACCCTTTTTCTTATCATGACCACACTGGCAGAAAAAAAATAATAACCTATGCATTGTTGATAAGATGCCAGTGGAGAGCGAAGCCACTGGCTCCTGCAGCGCTTCATTCCTCTCCCGAAGGGAAGTTTCCCTAACCCCTACACTGCTTCCTTATCAGCTCCCAGCAAACTCACGCAATGCTGTTTTCCTGCAGTGTTTTCCTGCTGCTTTCCCTCCCTCTCCTGGCCAGCGGCAGGAGGATCCCACTATCTCGCTATCCCTATGGATTAGAAGGGAAAACGTGAACCAACCTCATGACACCTCCTCATCAGGGCTGGATACGAGGCTGAGCGGTAGCCAGAGCATCCTGCAGCACAGAAGCGACTTGCATCCTTTGGGAGCAAAGCTGACGAGCAAAATGAAGGGAAACATCCCTTTGCAAAAGTCAGCTCGGCAACATCCAAGCTGGAGGGGGATTTTCTTCAAGTCTGCCCTCCCATTTTTGCTGAAATCTCTTCTGAAACTGGAGGGCAACTAGGTTATGACTCACTGCTTTCCCCATCCCACATCACTGAATTGCAGAACCATCCTAAGGATTTAAATTCCATGTACTGCCTACTTTCATCATGCAACCTTTTTTTAAATTGCTTTTTTTTTTTTGCTTGGTCCTTTAAGGAAAATCACTGTCCACAAGGATTCAAGAAAGAAGAGACAACAGAAGTTGGGAAGAATGATCTACTCTGAATAAACAGGGAATGACTGTCAAAGTCTCAAATGATAATTAAATGTCAGCCTTGAAAGATTTCACTTGGATTTGTCACATCTGAGCCCAAGAATCTGTGTTGTCA